CTCCCGTCGTGCTGCGCGCCCCACAATGGCTGATGGGAGATGAAGGCCGAGCGAAACACTACCCCTCCCGTCGTGCTGCGCGCCCCACAATGGCTGATGGGAGATGAAGGCCGAGCGAAACACTACCTCTCCCGTCGTGCCGCGCGCCCCGCAATGGCTGATGGGAGATGAAGGCCGAGAGAAACACTATCCCTCCCATGGTGCTGCAGGCTTCGCGCTTGCAGATAAGACGTTGACAAATTACCCACAATGCACTGCGTCTCGTCCTTTCTCCCCCGCGTGTGGGCGCGGGGAAGGAGGAGTCCGCCGCTAACCTCCCCGCCCCCCGCTCCCCAGGAACCGGAAGTTCCCTTGTTGCTCCCATCATCCTGCCTGCCCTAGTAGCTGTCGGCTGCCGGGGCCGGGGCCGCCATGAGCAAGCGGAAGGCGCCGCAGGAGAGCCCCAATGCGGGGATCACAGACTTCCTGAGCGGTGGGTTGGGCGAGCGAGCGGGGGCTGCGCCGGGGGCGGGGCGGGGGCTGGCTATTGGCGGCGGTTCAGCGGCCGGGCGTGGCCTGTCGGGGAAGGCGCGTGTGAGGGGCACCCGGGGCCCCGGATTAGCCCGAATTTGGTGGTGCCCAGAACCCGCCCCCCCCCCACCTGCCCAAGGCTCTGGGAGGGATTTTGGGTGGCGGAGGAGGTCTGGGGGTGCAGGCCCTAGTCTGGGGCAGGGGATTGGGGTGCGGGCTCTGGGAGCGAGTGTGGAGGGAGGGGTGTAGGGCTGTGGGGTGTGGCTGCAGATGAGGGGTTTGGGGTGTGGGAGGGGCTCAGGGCGAGAGTAGGAGTGTGAGGGGTGAGGGCTCTGTCTGGGGCTGGGGGGGTTGGGGTGCTGGAGGGGCTCAGGGCTGGGGCAGAGGGTTGAGGGTGCAGTGGGGGGGTAAAAGCTCTGGCTGGGGGTGTGGGCTCTGGGGTGGGGCAGGGCTGGGGATGAGTTTGGGGTGCAGGCAGGCTGCTCCAGGACGGGCCAGAGAGGAGGTCTCCCCCAGCCCTTTCCCTGCTGGCAGCAGCGAGCTCTGGGGGGAGGAGCCCCCCTTTCCCATCCCCACAGCAGCACACTCACCCCCACCACTGTCACCACATGTGCTCCTAGGGCCTCTCTCAGGTCCAGGAATCTCCCTCAGCTGCCCTGTGGTGGGTGCTGGAGGTGCTGTGTGTGCCTCCTCCCCTGCTGTTGCCCCTGACTGTAGCCTCACTGGGGGTGAGGGATGGGTGGCTGCCTCCTTGCCCAGCATGGGGCAGGAGTGGTGACTGTGGGCGGGAGGGGCGGGGGGGCCCTGTCCTGGTGGAGGGTCCTGCCGGAAAAGGGAAGGGTCTGAGGTGGAAGGGCAGGCTCAAACTCAGTCTGCCGTGGCAGTCGAGATGGGGGGCACTAGGGCCCTGCGGCAGCAGTTGCCACAGGGAGGCAGCATGGAGCTGTGGGGAAGAGGCAGGGGGTGGCAGGTGGGAGGGGGAGGACACCCGGCCCCAAATATTGGTGGAGCTGGGCTCCTGGGCTCTGAATATTGCTGGTGCCCAGGCACCACATGGGAATATAACTCGTCACCTGTGCTAGCCTGGTAATGGTAACCTGCCCGCTCTTGAGTGAGAACCGGTTCGGAGTGAGTGGTCAGACCCAAGTGCGTGTAAGAAATGTCTCCGTGTCTCTTTCCATTGCCCCTGGGCTGCAGAACTGGCGAACTACGAGAAGAACGTGAACCGAGCCATCCACAAGTACAACGCGTACAGGTAGGTGCGCCAGCGAGCGGTGCGGGTATCACCTTGTTCTCCCAACCCTCCCTGCTCTCAGCGCAGAAAGAGGGCTGTGGTGTCCCCTCTCCTGGGTGCCATGGGAAACTACTCCAGGCCCAGTCTTATTCAACAGGGATTGGTAACTGGTTAAAATATAGTAAACAAAGGGTAGGAATAAATGCTCCATTTTCAGCATGGAGAGAGGTTAATAGTGGTGTCCCCCAGGGGTCTGTTCTGGGACCAGTCCTATTCAACATATTCATAAATTATCTGGAAAAGGGGGTAAACAGTGAGGTGGCAAACTTCAGATGATACAAAACTACTCAAGATAGTTAAGTCCCAGGCAGACTGGGAAGAGCTACAAAAGGATTTCACAAAACTGGGTGAGTGGGCTACAAAATGACAGATTAAATTGAATGTTGATAAATGCCAAGTCATGCACGTTGGAAAGCATAATCCCAACTATACATATAAAATGATGGGGTCTAAATTAGCTGTTACCACTCAACAAAGAGATCTTGAAGTCATTGTGGATAGGTCTCTGAAAACATCCACTCAATGTGCAGAGGCAGTCCAAAAAGTGAACAGATTGTTGGGAATCATTAAGAAAGGTATAGATAATAAGATAGAAAACATCATATTGCCTCTGTGTGAATCCATGGTATGCCCACATTTTGAATACTGAGTGCAGTTGTGGTTGCCCGATCTCAAAGAAGACCTATTGGACTTGGAAAAGGTTCAGAAAAGGGCAACAAAAATGATTAGGGGTATGGAATGATTTCAGTGTAAGGAGATATTAATAAGACTGGGACTTTTCAGCTTGGAAAAAAGATGACTAAGGGGGGATATGATAGAAGTCTATAAAAACATGACTGGTGTTTAGAAAATAAATAAGGAAGTGTTATTTACTCCTCATAACACATGAACTAGGGGTCACCAAATAAAATTAATAGGCAGCAGGTTTAAAAACAAACAAAAAGTATTTTTTCTCACAATGCTCAGTCAACCTGTGGAACTCCTTGACAGAGGATATTGTGAAGGCCAAGACTATACCAGAGTTCAAAAAAGAACTAGATAAGTTCATGGAGGATAGGTCCATCAATGGCTATTAGTCAGGATGGATAGGGGTGGTGTCCCTAGCCACTGTTTGCCAGAAGCTGGGAATGGGTGACAGGGGATGGATCAGTTGGTGATTACCTGTTCTGTTCATTCCCTCTGGGACACCTGATGTTGGCCACTGTCAGAAGACAGGATACTGGTCTAGATGGACCTTTGGTCTGACTCAGTATGGCCGTTCTTATGTTCTAAATTTAAGCTAGGCTCAGGGTCTCGGCTGATTCTAATTTGATTAACAGTGTTCTGCAATCTTAAAATTCCAATCCAGCCAGATACTTCATTATGCACTTAAGAAGAGACGTAAAACTTTTTTTGAAATTTAGATGGCATTTAAAAAAAAATGGTGGGTTTTTTCTCCCTGTTCTCCCCCCGCCTAAAAAATTGAAATATCTATAGTAATTACTTGCTTATTGAAACTAAAATTTCATTTTTGAAGAATGAGAAATGCGTTCTGTATAAGTTAGTTAGCATATAAAATGCTGTTTGGTATATTGATGAAATAGGTGTAAATTATTTAGTTTTGATTTGAATAATAATAAACATATGTTTTTGTCTATTGGCAAATAAGAAAAAAATGTTTGAAACTAGAAGACATCAGTATTTTTGTAAGCCAAAAGGAAAGTTTATACCCTTTAGGCTCAGAAATAGTATGTAAATAGACCTGACTTTATTATGCAGATACAGGAGAAACTTGTGTTTCCAGAGAGAGAGCTTGGAAAATGACTGTCCGTATAATGTAGGTAACAGAGCACAATATTTAAGGATCAACAGTAAATTCAGGTAGATATCCGAACTTTATAGTAACAACAACAACAACAGCAGATTCTTTAATAGTGTGTTATCATCACACATACAGTAAGTGTCAAAATAGTAGACAAAACTAGCCGTTCTATGAACCTGTGTAATATAATTTAAATTGTTACTAATGTATTCTTTGAAATGCTAGCCTCACTCAAGCTTTTCCTTCTTTCCTTTCTCTTTCACTGTTCATTCTGAGAGAAACTATTTCACAAGTTTCTTTTCATATTTTTCAATTTTTCTAAGCTGGCCCTTGGGGCGGAATGGAAAAAAATCTGCCCCTCCTCCCCACCCCCCAAATATCTGAGGTGGCTAACCAGATAAGTAGTTTTTGTAAAGTACTTCTGAATAACAGGCTCTTTTGTAAATTGTAAAACATTGCTGTTTACCTTATTTATAAAAGTCCTTATGTGAGCCCCTTATGTTAAAGTGAGGAAAGTGATATTCAGGTTGCTGTATGATAAGCTTGTGTGTGTGTGTGTGTGTGTGTGTGTGTGGTCTCGTATTCCTGGTGCATGAGAAATAGGGGGTAGTTATACAGATGCCACTGCTCCAGGGTGGAACCACACACAGTGCACTGTAATGAGGGTGTACACAAAATGTTTGTCTGGTCATTTGATACTGTTCACTGAAGGCTGGAAAGTGAATGGAACTGTCTTTTCTATATATATATATATAGAAAAGCAGCTTCTGTAATATCCAAGTATCCAAGCAAGATCAAAAGTGGAGCTGAAGCAAAGAAGCTGGTAAGCTGTAAAACAGATGATAATGTTTTATCCGAGTTCCTATCATCCACACAATTAAATTCCATTTTGTGTTAATATTTTAGTGTATTATAATATACATTATCATAGTTGTAATTGAGGAGACCCAACAATATGCTTTTTTCCTGCATTTTCTCAGACTTCAGAGGTTTAAATTTAATGCAGGAATTGTAAATTTTGCTAAAAGCCCATTTTGAAATTTCACTGTAAAATAGGGAAAATTAGAGTCTGCTTCTGTTGCTCATAATGCTGCTGCTTACAATTATGAACATTAGCAAAATATTGTCTTGTAAGTTTGATTGTGTTTCTGTTTTGCAAGTTTCTGAATTTAGTTTTGTAGTTTATCCATAATGTCTGATGCTAGTTATCCTGAAGGTAAAGTTTCATTGACTTTTTGGTTCTGTTTCTTTTTTAGGAAGGAGTAGGAGCTAAAATAGCTGAGAAGATTGATGAGTTTTTATCCACTGGAAAACTACGTAAGCTTGAAAAGGTGAACCTCTTTGACCTTCTTCTCTGTGGGCATTTTTTTTTCTGTACCTTCCAAGGCCTCCTGCTAACTCCATGCAACTGCTTTACTGTTTCTGGAGAGACTGAGGTCAAGCAGGAGGGAGATGCACGTAGACTGCCAGGGGAGTAGAAAGAAGGAAATGGGTATCTAAAAACAAAAAATCCTGAAAAAAATTGTACATCTCTGGAAATATTACAGGATATGATCAGTTTGCCTTCCTGCCTATTCTGTCCACCAAATTGATGAAGTGGGTTCTCGTGGAAGTTTGGTTTTAGCCAGGGCCACCTACCTTAGTCTGGACAGACATGTAGAAAGCTTCCTGCACATGGCTTTTCCCAGTGCACCTTAGTCCTGGCCTGCAGCACCCCCTCTTGTTCTAAATTTGGGCTCCCACCCTTCTCTTATGTACTTATTCCCAACATATAGAATTTACTTCAGTATATAGAAGGGTTCAGACAATGGCTTTAAAAATGCGGTTGTAAATCTAAATAGACATGTCAGCAAAAACTAAAAAGGACTTTTCTCCCTCCACTAAAAAAAGAACCAGCCTCACTTAAAGCCTTATAACATCCCTCTGAGTATCAAACTCTCTTCTCTGAAACCAAAGAAGGAAGCAAATTCTAGAGCCAAGGGCTTGGGCACTGAAAACCACCTGTCCAGATTCTTTCTGAGTGGATCTAGACAATCATGACATGAGTGTCTGATGTGTAGGTAGTAGGTCAGATCTAAAAAGACTACA